CTCTTAAAAAAGTTAATAATTTCTATAAGTAATTAAAACTATTTATAAAACTTAGGTCTAATTAAAATACTTAATATCTATTTTTTTATAAAATTAAAAAAGCTTTTAATAAGAAGTCCTTTTTATTAGCCTTATTTTAATAATAAGCCCGAGTTTTAAAAACTAAAATTAAGTATATAGTTTTTTTTTAAAAAAAAAGAGTATTTAAATAAACCTAAATACTAAGTTTATTAATATTAAGGATATAAAGAGGGTTTAAAAAGACGTTAATAAGCGTTTAATTAATCTTAATTAAACTATAAAGGTCGAATTACTTAATAAGGGTAGTAACTATATTATAATAGTAATAAAAAGTAGTTAATTAATTAACTATAGTTAGTAGCGATGTGCCTAGACCTACTTTTAATAGGGTGGCCGAATGGGGGGGTAGCCGAATGGGGGTGTTCTGACTTAGATTAAAGCTATATTATCTTTCTGGCATGAGGGGGGAACACGTCATCACGTCACAACTCGTTAGACGACGTCCGTAATGGCCAGCTTGAAGCTGAAGCATAGCCAGAGCATTATTCACGCGCTGATTTTATCACACTACAAGTCTTTGAAAGGAGACCGTCAAGAACGCTCGACATACGAGGAAAGTTTCATGAAGAATCCGAGTGATTTACAGGAAGTATCTCGACTAACATAAAGCTGATCAGTCCACACCGAGAGCTTCTTCGCAGCCCCATTTACTGCCCACTGCCGTTGTTGACCAACAGATTGGGCGATCCCTTCGGGTCGCCAACAACGTCAGGGATAGCAAGCTCCAGGATCCTGTCAGTAACCTCCTTGGGCGTTACAAGACCGCCCTCCAAGGCTCTGAGGTAACACACGAGACCGGCGACAAGCGGCGCCGCCATACTGGTACCAGTCTTCGTCGCCGTGCCCGTGTCAGAGCTATAGCTAGCAGAAATAATGTCCTGGCCGGGCGCGAAAACGTCCAGCTCGGGGCCGTAGGAGCTGCCGTAGATGCCCTCAATAATGTTGACACGGCCACGGTCAGGGCGCGTCATGCCAACGGTGAAGGACTCAGGAAGTCTGGCGGGGGAAGTGTCGGTGGCGGGCTGGTTGTCGTTGCCGGCCGCAACGACGGTGAGAATGCCCTGGTTGTAGGCGGCGAGAACGGCGTTGTCGAGGGCCGAGACGTTCTTGGCGCTGAGAGACATATTGAGGACGGACTTGCCTTGCGCGCCCTTGGTCGTGATGTCGTTGACAGCCCAGTTGAGACCGGTGAGGATGGCTGAGGTGGAGCCCTGAGGAATCATTAGCACGAAGAAATCTGGATAGGGAGATGCTGTAATTACCGTAGAGCCGTCGAACACCTTGATATCAATGACCTTGGCCTTCTTGGCAACGCCATAGGTCTTGCCGACGATGGTCGCGGCAACGTGAGTGCCGTGACCGTCGGTGTCAGAGTTTGAACCGGGAGAGACGGTCGACCCGGTGACACCGTTGATACCGAAGCTGGCGCGGCCTTCAAACTCAGAGTGCGACGTCCGGATACCCGTGTCAAAGACGTAGGCAGTTGTGCCCTCGCCGGCGGTGCTATCATAGACGTACTCAGTAGAGCCAGCCGCCTTGTGAGACAAGTCACCCAAGCTCCAGATGCTGCTGGCCTGGGTGGTCAGATCGCGCTTGGAGAGCGTCGACTCCTGCTCAGTGGGGTCGACAAAGATGGGCTGGTCGATCTCGACGGAGAGGACCTCGTCGAGAGCGGCAATCTCCTCGAGGGTCGCGTCGTCGAAGCTGCCGCTGTAGGCGTTGAAGTCGCCAATCTGGAACGTCTTCTCCACCGTGCCCGCGGACCCATCACGGCGGCGGAGGAGGCTGCGCACCGCCTTGTGATGCGCCGTGACGGCCTCGGGAGTAGTGCCGGGCTTGAGCTGGATGATATACTTGCCGGACATGAGGTCCGTGTCGGTACGGCGGTCGATGCCCTTGGGCGCCGCGAGGGCAGGCACGACGGCGCCGAGGATGGCGAGGATGGACGATGCCTTCATCTTGGTCGATCACGCGAATTGGCACTGGGAAGTCGATGATGATGACCTTCTCAGGAAAGGGGAAGGGTTGTCGGATCCTAAATGACCTTTAAATGCAGCCATCTTGCCCGTTGCGATTGCGGAATCTCCTGTTCATAAGTCGGCCGAGTCGTCCGGGGTTGTTGAACGACTGCCATGATTCTCATTGCGTGACACGGGACCGATGCCCTATTCAGGAAGCTCGACGGCGCCGTTGCCGCGGGTAGATCCGACCCCGGCCGGCTCCTGTCAATAGTGAAAAGCCGGTATTCTGGCCTCACTGCCAGTTAGGTCTAATTTTAGATTGGTTTACCGTTGAGGAAACTGGCTACAAGTGCCCTATCACATCCAATTCCCTTGAATCTCTTTGTTTTTCTCCTGAATGAGGTTATCGCAAACTTGTCAAAGACTGTAGATATCGTATAGCTGCTCTGTTAACCTCGTATTGATGCTTGAAGCATCGCCTTATCCGGACAGCCAAGCCAAAGCCCCGAAATTAGCCATGGGTCGCGATGGAACCCTGGCCATGGCGACCTTCCCCATTCTTCCTAACGGCTCTCCCCGCCAAGCTTAAAGATTCCTGCGTAATCGGCCACTGCCGAGCCCCAACAATATCCAGCCCTAGCTCTCAGCCATGCGGTCGCATGAGTCTCAGACTCTCAATTCTCGATTTGTAGGGGTCTTGTCCGCGATATCCGTGGATCGCAGTTCTGTGTGTCAGTATCAGCTATTTGCAAAGCCAAAGACCACAGGGCTCGCGGGCAATATCTACGAATCGCGAAAACGAGAATGTAGCTCACTAGACCAAAGTCAGCAGTTCACTTCAACGCCAAGTATTGCGACTAATCCATGCCCCAATTAATACAAGCCTGTTGAATTTCCCACCTGCGATATCAAGCTTAAAACAAGTTTAAACTTTAATGATACGACTTGGTAATACAGAATAAGTTGTCTTGATAAATAATTCCATTTGTGGGGGTCAGTTAACATTGGCCCAGCCTGGCACAGTGAAACCTTTGCAACGGCCGACGCCATTTTCCCATTCAATCAACTTCTCAATCGCTTTGAACCAGCCACATATCGAACCAGTCAACCATGGCACGAAGACTCTGTTCCTTACACCAACCTATTTTTAGTTAGTTAAGATCATCCGGGATGACGTGAAAGTATTCTAGCTGGTAAGACTCACGCTGGTAAGGGTCTGTTGGATCTCCTTTCACGGCGAAACCATGTGAGACGCCTTGGAAAACCTGAAGGTGATAAATTTTCTTCTCTCTTTGAAGGTAATCAATTGCTTTCCTTCTTGCCTCAGTCGGGAATGCTTGGTCATTCTCGGCGCACGAGAGTAGAAGAGGCTCTGTGGTAAACGGGTCAGCCGCCTCGACTCTGGAATGTTGGAATGACGCATTAAGTCATGGTAACGACGGTACTATCGTGCTCATATGCGCCAGATTGGCTGCCTCATCGATAGTAATGAAGAATAGTCGAAGACGGGCACAGCTTCATTGTGGCCAAACTTACTCTTAATGCTGGTGAAATGTTCCTCCTTCAATGCCGTCGGGTGCGCAAATGCACCAGCGGAAACCACCGGCTCCCCATCGCCACCAGCCCCAGCGAGCAGATTGCACACAAAAGGCGCACCAAAGCAATATCCAACGCAAGCAAACTTGGTCTCCTTGCCCGTCTCAGCCTTTAGTTCGGCACCAAATCTCTCCTTGACGGCCGCTGTCCACTTGGGAACATTTTCCGTGGCGAAGTTCCAGTGCTTGGAGCGCCAGGCCGCCATGTCAAACCCCTCCGGCAGCGGGTCGGTTTTGGCGTTGCGGTACTTGGAGATGGGGTCGCCGCGAAAGAAGTCCATGCCAAGCGCCGTGTATCCCGAGGACGCGAAGCCGTCCATGATGCACTTGGCGTTGACGGAGAGGCCCCACACGTCCGGGAAGTAGAGGATGACATGTCCGTTGGGCGGGAGGGCGCGCTTCACGTCTGAAGGGCGGACGACGTAAGTGGGCACCTCCAAGATTTCTTCCACATCGCCGCGAGGGTTGCCTTCATGGAGGGTGCCTGCCCAACAACAAGGTGCCGGTGGTTGGGCGAGGTATTCTTGATTGCTTGATGATTTCTCCGCCATTTTACTTTTTGATGATAGAACTTGGGTCTCCTGTAAACGAATATGAGTGTTACTGGATACGACTGAGCTTAATAAATCGGGGTGGAAACGGAGAGATAAAGGAAATGCCGCATCGGTGCCGACTGCACATGGAGTTAGTGCGGCCCTGCGGGGTTTCAAACGGCTGCACACAGACCAGAAGTTCGGTCTAGAAACCTTGTTTGTGAGAGAATGGCGTGCTTCGTTCAGCAACTCCTGTACCCAGAAGCTTTCCATAGTCAAATTTTGTATTATAGAATCTCCCAACGCTGCGGATCTAAACACATAGTTTCTACAGTTGACTTGTCCCCTCCTTCGGCCTATTCTGAGCTGATGCCGTCTCCATAAGTCACCTTCTCAGGGTCAACTCCCCCTCCATCAGGATTTAGTGCATGTTATATATCTCCAAGGTCAAGAGAAGTGAGCTCCTTACCGCAACAAAGATCCCTCACTAATACGTAATAACGTGCGTCCGTCAGCCGCATATTCCAAAAACATTTCCCATGAGACCTTTTCGAACCCACAGTGAGCTTGCTTGATCGGCATCATGGTCATTTGATAGGTTCATGGTTGTAATTCGAAAGTTGACGAGAGATCTAAGCATATCCTAGCCATAGCCCATATTCCCTGAGACCTATCTCTTCCACACAGATCTTCGACATGGTTGGCCTAATACCCAGTAAAATGACAAATGATCATATTTATGTACATAACTAATTTCCTACTCAGATACACAATAGCTCTACTCAAGTATGTCCCATGATGAGGTAGACCATCTGATCTCTACAACATACTCAAGGACGAACCAGCACCCGGAAGGTAGTTGAGTGAGTCTCCAGCACTCCGCTTCTCTGCAGCGTCTTTGCCATTTCATTCCCGTAAGGTTGAGAGGAGCAGCTGATGAGTACTGTTGGTTGTGTTTTGTTCTTTTCTCGTCCCATTTCGTATGCCTCAGCAACGATTTTGGGGGTAAAGTGATATTCGTCGACTGGAGTAACTGCGATGAAAGAATCTATTGTCTTCTCTAATTGAATCCATGAGGCCTCAGCGTCCGATCCGGGCTTCAGCGACCACATGGTCTCGCCATTGACAAGGTATTCTTCGCTCTGAACGACATGAGGTTGGAAATCTTGGTGTGCGTCTCTTGTTCTGCAGCATAGTAGGCTTAGGAGTCTCCGCCGCGCAAGCATGAAAAAATTTGGTGCAGGATGCTGTAATTTGCCCTGTTTATTGATTCCCCGCCGGTCTGTTGTCACCCCGATTTTCTCCTTCGAGTGAGGTACATAGCTGAAAGTCATGAGATGATGGATTCCCACTCGAGATTGGAATGCTCTCTGAAGTTTGGTGATGATAATGTTGTAGACTTGGACACTTTCATTGACAAAACAGTCCCAGAGAACTTCTTCCTCCACAGCCGTTAAATACATCAGGCCTGAAATATGCCTTGCCACCCTTGCAAAGAGACTCCGCAAAACGGATTGATGAGTATCTAGGAGGTGAGAATTTTTTCGGTCAAAGGCGCACATGCACCAGCGCCACCGCTTACTGTGGCTTGCAAATTCCTCTGATGATTTGTTTGTGTGACGCACTGCCTCCACATCAATACAACCCATACAATCAGGCTGCGGTCAGCTGCACCCTGTTCTGGATGTCGACTAACCATACAGACCGCGCTTTAGTGTCATTCGCCAAATAAAAATTCGGACCCGACACGCCTGAGAAACATTTTCCAACAAGGTGCGTCACAACCCATGGCGTGACCAATTGACTTTATATTTTCAGAGCGCCTTTCGAGCAGGCTACTAACGTAATGCATGAAGTTCTCCAAATAGTATCCCGACATTGGTTGACTGTTTCCGTACCAGTAGGTAAGTTTCAGAACTTCAGCGCTGATTTTTCAATATTCATGCGGCTATGACTTATATTTGCATGTTGCATCAGTCCAATCCGATCAAGATGCCACGGGCGGGATCCCGAAAATTACTTCTTATGCTAGATATTTGATTGGTATATGACTGCGTGGCTCCAGGCAATACAATCTCTCTTGAGGTGGATCTAATCCTACAAGTCGACCTTTTTCAAAACGCGGATCAAATCTCTTGTGCAAGCAAGGATCTAGTTCTTCTTTTCGTCGCCTTCACTTCTACCTCCAAATGAATCAACAAGCGCTCGACTGCAGGTTACAAGGTGCCCACATCTCGGACGAGCTGGCCAAGGTTCTAGCAGGTCGTATATGGCGATCGGATTACACTAGACATGAAGGGTTGTATAACTCAAGAAACATTTACTCTCTAGACTTAGGTTGACTCTAAGCCATGTGATAGACCGGCTTCCGAGCTTGACAGCTATGTCTTTGCCTTGGAGGCAAAGCTGCAAGTCTTTTCCGAGAGTCTACATGTCATTCGTCATTTCCGCCACCTGGTCGATCTGATCGACTTGATTCAACAGAACCGAAATCAGCGTCGCGAAGAGATCGGGCAGTATGCTAGGATTTTATGCAATAGATGGTTTACAGATCAATTGGAACTTGATGTGCCTGTAGTATGTATTCCCTCCCAAGATTTTGTTTTGAGGTTCAAGTCTTGCGACAACTGCTGTGCTGGAGTCCCACACTTGTGCTAACCCTGTTCCCAAGCCTCCTGCAGTTTACAATTCCATCGACTTCGCCGTTGATGTCTGGCTATTGCGTCGCTACAACACAGCTGGCTTGAGTCGAACGCCAGGTGAACACATTTTCGCCTGGGAAGGTGCTCGTACTCCAATGACTGACGCCTTTCGACGCATTTTGCCTGGTCATCAAGACATAACTTCGCCACCACCTGATCAAGTCTTTCCAAGCACACTCACTCTGCGCGACTTACACGCACTTGGAGATTTTGTCATACAGCCTACGGACAATCTATTTCAACATCTTTTAGTGCAAAAACACCGGAACAGAAAGATGCGACCCACGGTATACGTTTTCTTCAATGTATCTGCTATTTCCAAGCTACAGACATGGAATGAGCCATTAAATGGGTTAGTTAATAGTCTGTCTTGAACAGAAATTAAGAATACATGATTATGAGTACTAACCTGAGGGCAAAGTGTTCATTTCGACGACCCTAAGTTCCTTGAAGAGACTCTTCAAACATTGGCTCTTCTGCTCCCATCTTACGATGAACATAGCCAAAGCTGGTTTATGAAGTATTGCAAGAAGATGCAGCGCAATTTGCCACGCAACAGTCTACCTGCAATTGACCGTCGTGCTGGACGACTGCCTTTTGCTTCAAGACGTAAAGTTGGTTATTACTACTGGCTCCCACGACTGCTAGATTTGGAAAAGGAGTTTGCAAACTCATCCCCGAGAACTCTGAGACAATTCTTGCGTGACCGTCGGCGTTACCGTGAACTGACTCTATACTGGGTAGCTGTCATCGCCCTAGTGCTGACTCTGATATCATCATTGACTGGTGTGGTATCCGCCATTGTTGGTGGCTTGGCTCTGAGGGGGGGCAAAGATGGCAAAGGGTCACTCGATTCAGTTTGCTGTTGCCGCGACGTAGACTCCATTACAAATATCTTAACGGTAGCAAGTGTGATTACGGCGTCTGCGCCTGGGATGACTCTTGAGCCAGCTCGTATCATAGATCCATCCCAGACAATGATTGTCACGGTAAGAATTACTACTACAATTACAGTGGCCGGGGCGTGATGTCGCCCGGTATCTGATTCTTACGTCGTTATTACGTGGTACATACAGATCGACTTTTCGCACGGGCATTATTTAGACTAAGGTAGTCGCCCTTCAAAACACTGTGGATTGTTACTCGTTCAATTCGTGTCTATTTTTCCAAGCTCTATAAGTCTATGTGTGACATGTCATTCACGCAGCTTTTAGCTTATGCCGCGCTTCCATTCATTTGAAAAGAAAAAAGGTCTAAACAGTATACGGGTATCTATGAGCTCTCATACTTGGCCAAGATGCTCTCAAAGTCCTTCCAGTTGTGCATAACATCAAAAGCGCCGAGCTCCTCGCTGAAGAGCTTGATCATGGAGTCCAGCTTCTCCTGGCCCTCCTCGTAGTAGGGTCCGACGTATCCCAAAAGGGGAATGCCGGCGTTCTTGGCAGCAGTAGCACCGCTTCTGCTGTCCTCAATGGCGATGCACTCGCTAGGCTTGTAGCCAAGCTTCTCGCAGGCGTGGAGGTAGATGGCCGGGTTGGGCTTGGAGACGGGGGGGTCGATGCTGCTGGCAGCGGAGAAGATGCCGACGTCGGGCTTGTCGAAGAACTGGTCCATCTTGGTCTTCTCAATAGAGGCGACAACGCGGGGCATGGCGGAAGAGGAGACGATGGCCATGTGGTACTTCTTGTCCTTCTGGAGCTTCTCGAGTACCTCGATCACGTTCTCGCAGGGCTCGGCCTTAGCACGGAGGTTCGCGATGGTGGTGTCGAGCTCCTTGGCAACCCATTGGTCGAACTCGTCGGCGGGGATGGTGAAGCCATGACGGGCGCAGAGGCCGGTCATCATGCTGCGGAAGTTCTGACCGACAAACTGGTGCATGAGCTCGGTGCCGCCATAACGCTTCTCGAAGCCGAACTTCTCGAGGATCTGGTTGGCAAGCTGAGCGCAGGCCTCGAAAGCGGCGTTCTCAGAGAGAACGAGCGTGTTATCGCAGTCGAAGAGAAGGCACTTAATCTGTCACGAAAGCGGTTAGACGGATTGATCTTGAGATAGCTCATAAACTTCAGCCATTGAAGCTAGGAAGCTAGTATCTTTACTCACTTGAGGCATCTTGAAGAATATGGAATGGCAATTCTAAGGATGAAAATATGATGGAGAGAACAGAGTGAAGAGAGGAAAGAAAGAAACTTTGTTACTGTTGGTGGCAGATTTTCAATGATCGGCGAGCTTGTGAAAGGTGGGGGGTCATCTTCAGGAACAACGCGACGGTCCCTGGGCGGATCATGGATGGAGGGGCAAGTGGGTTCCAAAAAAAGAGCGCAGACAGGTTTCAGGAATACGGCACTGCATTTACTTCCCTGTCGAGCATGTCTTATCGCAAGCTTCGTTGCCAATGACAGTAAGGCGTGGACAAGAAAGCTCAAGGATGTTCCTGACAACTCCTCCGAAACTGTACACGGTATTCAATCACCTGGTATCAACGGCACTTCTTCTCTTGACCTGACACTTGTCTACAACATGAGGCTTTGAAATGGCATTTCTCTCTACGCTTCTTTCCGATATGACCCACATCGAGGGGTTGGAGGGGCAGACCTCGAAAGAAACACTCTATCGGCCCGCCCATTGATTCTCTTCGGGATGACCAACGGGAGGCTTGAAAAAGGACCGAAAACCTTCGGTCAACGGTTCTGCGACGGCATGATGTCATTCGATGACGTAGGGCGCAGAAAGACTCCATCAAAGTGTGGATTTGGTGCAAAATGGATCCCGGTCTGACTCGTGAGCCGCGACAGCCGTCGACAACGGTAGACCCTCGACGGTGAGGTGGATAGTGGACCGTTTGGATTCTGGACAGCATCTATTCTGGGATTGGCAGCTTGATAAACTCTTTGAGCTCTTGAAGGCGAAGCTGCGAAGCTGAGGCGTCGTACTATCGTGAAGCCTACTTGGTTGACTAAGACACATCCAACTTAATCTGCCTCGGGTCCGTGATTTGATCATTGAATTGGTCGCCAGCCCGTGAAACCAATTCCTCCATAATACCTCGATGGGTACTTTTATCTAAAGATGTTTGCTTCTCCAAGTCCTTCGAGTCTTTCGAGTCTTTCTTTTGATCGGGCTTTGATGTTGTGCTTACTTCTTCATGTGAGGCTTTTATCGATCGTGCTGAGCCGCATTGTGCAGCAACTGAGCTTGAAGGTTGGCATCGTGAAGATTCGGAGGGTCTACAGCGATTAATTTAGCTGACATCAAGAAAAAGAGACGGAAATGATGTTGGGGCTCACAGCTCTGTCCGTCGAGATGGTTGAGGTTCCATTAAGCCTTGTGGTCTATCCGCCTCAGCGTCGTTGGGCTTGTGCTTGGTCGAAGGCTGAACGGACTGGGCGGGCTGAACGGGCTGCTCCATCTCTGACGAAGTAATAAGCTTCTGTATATTTGGTAGTCAGCTCTTGCAGCTCAATAGGTAATTGACAATAATCTAGCCAGCGGACCACGATACCGCCAGCCTGAGTACTTTAGTCAAACTTATCTTGTCAGTCTAATCGCTTGTACACCGCTAGTTTGTACCTAGGTAAGAATGGCTGAAGTCTTTTTGACAACTTTCACTTACTCGGGGTATTCTGTAAGACTCTAGAAAGCGATGAAGAGTTGTGACATGCAAGATCACCGCGTCTCATCCAGGTTGAAGACGTGCAGAGAATTCGAAAAAGAGAAGAAAGTTAAAGAAAGAGTGCGAGGCGCGAACCTCCAAGTCCCAAATTGACTCTATAAAGTGAAAGAGGGAGGATGAAGTAGCTGTTGGCTTTTGGGGCCCTAATATTTCAGAGGCTAGCCCACGATAACAGCGACACCTAAAGCCCTAGTGTTTATTTGCTTTTATTCTCCCTCTTGGATCAACTGTGGCCGTTAGATTATCCATCCTTCTAAAAGTATCGTGAAATGCAGAGAAACCAATGGTTCTGCCGAGCCGTAACTTCGTGAGGGTGTGGCAGGATGCAGGACACGTCGCGTCGTGGACAGGGTCTCCTTTGGCCAGTCGCTAATTACGACATATTTTTAACAGACTTCACTGAGAGACTGCCTATGGTCTGCCGTACTTATACACCCGAGCCCCTGATCAGTCTCGTGCCAGTCCCTCTTAGGGAAGGAAGGGTGGTTAGGGCACCCGAGGAAGGGAAATGTAACGAAGATCATAGCCGCACTGGCGGTCGCAACATTCAAAACTTCCAAACCCTCCACCGAGTTCCGCAATGTCCATTTAATCTCGTTAGAGGCCTCAGATTCCTGGATGTGGGAATGGAGTCCCCGGAAACAATCACTTCGATAACGCCTTTCGAGAGACTCATACACACGTCCCACAGTCTCTCAACTTTCGAGTCCTTCGGAAATCACCTTCCTCATGGCGGCAAAGTGCAGCAAAGGCTGGAACAAGACCCAGGCTTCCCGATCGGCTCTTCATTCTATTGGCTCCGAAGAAGAGGTGCGTAGGCTGTTGACATTTCTAGCAAGGGTATCTAGTACATCACGCGTGCTTGGTGGCGCGTCCGGGTCAACTTTGGGTTCCTTTCTTCCAGGGCTTGGCAAGGCAACCGGTCGCCTTGTCGTATGCCAGCCAACTACTAGGTGTGTACAGCTCGGTCAATCGCTTTCGCGACCGTTCCCTTGGCGATTCGGTGCTCCGTGGCTCTTAAACCCTCGCTCAGAAGCATTGGGCGCCGAGAACTCGATGATAATCCCATTCACTGTGGCCAATGGTGTTGGACGCCTCCCTCAGTATGAAACAAAACACCAACAGGTACTTGTTGTTCTTTACAATAATCTTTACATCCTGCGATACATGGGACATCATCGCAGACGACTGGTTGATGGATCACAATAGTCCTGGCCTCTCTTCTTTTGATATAGCTAATCCAGGCTGGATCGATTAGCCGTACTGTCAAAGGTGTCATTCCCATCGAATGCGATTTATCCCAAATCTTTCCGCGAACGTGTGCATTCGGCGTTGGTTCACGGCTTTGAAACACCTTTGTGCGGGCTATGTTACTTTAGGCAACCAAGGCACCCCCTTTCCAATTGCACTACGCGGAATTCGGCAGGCTACAGATTCATCGAGTAAAAAAATTGGTATCAACCAAGACAATTTCCCCACGATATCTTGAATCGATGCTCCATACAAGTTGTTTCATTGTGTTTATACTGATTAGATAATCTGAGATCCTTCCCAACATTAGCGTTGAAGATTCCAAATGTGCCATGTCCACAACGGGCTCCGTCAGCTTACACCCCCGCACCACGCCGCAAAAGTTCATCTGAAGACACATTCAGCAACTTCCTCGGACTGACCTGAACAAGACTGTGAGCTATGGCACCGCGGACTCGTGAAGAGCTTCTCGCCTATGGCATAGTCGATCCGTCAATCGAGGCCGTAAGTTCACGCCAGCCCACCGTCCACTAACCTCTATCTTCTCAGAGCATGCATAGATGCTAACAACGTCTCTCCTTCTCCAGGAACTCGCTGCCCGGCCTCTTCGGGACCCGCAGCGCGGAGACCCTTACTTTGGACGAAATGACTTCTTCGCGATGCGACAACATCGGGCGACGCGCTTGCGTGAGTCCCATCACCTGCGCTACCTCCCCGGCCCCATTCCGGAGCAGGTCCGCGAGGATGACCGCAAAGTCACCATGAGAGACGGCCATGAAATCGCCATTCGGGTGTATGCCCCCGTAAAGGCCCCTTCTGGGGGCAGTCCACTCATTGTGATGTATCACGAGGGAGGGTGGTGCATGGGTGATCTCTCTGACGAAGAGGTGAACTGCCGCCTCTTCAGTAGAGATCTCGGCGCAGTTTGCATCAATGTTGAGTATCGGTTAGCTTTCGGCTTGAGCCACGATGCTCTGTATCAACACTGACTTAAGCAGGCTCGCTCCCGAGTTCCCCTTTCCAACCGGTATCAATGATAGCTGGGACGCTTTGCAATGGGTAAGTCATGCATCCACCTCCTCAATTGCGTCGTGACTGACCAAGGGTCGTGTCCTAGGCCGCTGAGAACGTAGCCGAACTAGGCGCAGACCCTTCCCAAGGTTTCATCATCGGTGGCGGCTCCGCGGGCGGTAACATCACGGCTGTCCTCGCCCACCTCGCCCGCGACAATAATCTCTCCCCGCCGCTCACGGGACAATACCTCTGCGTCCCAGCTATCATGTGTCTCGCTCCTCCCGAATCCATACCAGAAAAGTATCGCCCCGAGTATCTCAGCCACCCCTCCGTTACGCCGTGCAAAGACCCCGTCATAGGCAACACCGCTGGTGATGGAGAAGCGGCACTGCGTGCTATCATTCAGCCCGACGTGGAGAGTCCTCTCTTCATTCCGTTCCACTATGGTAGAATCGGTCAGGGTCACAAGGGGCTGCCACCAACATACTTCCAGCTGGCTGGGCTGGACCCCTTCCGAGACGAAGGACTGATCTATGAGCGGGTTTTGAGAGAGGAAGCTGGGGTCAAGACGAAGCTTGATATCTACGCTGGGCTGCCTCACTACTTTTGGACCAATTGGCCACTCTTGGAGAAGAGCAGGACCTTCGTGGAAGATACACTCAAGGGTATCCAATGGCTGTTGGAACAGAATAAGTAGAAGAGAGAAAAGCTGTTCTCAATTCTCTGAGGCTGAGTATGCTATTGTGCACCGGCCCACAAAGCTACAGGTATCAATCACTTCACAACTGCCGTTTGATTCAGAAAATCATGAGCTATTGAGAAGTCAGTGCCATGTTTGTATGTACTTATGCTTAGATACACAGCAATGCTCCTTTCGTATCATCTGCCAACTTGGCCCTCCATAATCGGTTCTCATTCAAGATGAAGATTTCTCCATTGCGGCCAAAGCAGAAGTTAGCAGCACCACCCTGAACAAGGATCTTCCCTAGCAAAACACCCCCTGCAGACCAGATGTTGACGCCGTCGCCGCAGCCGCTGTACACGTTCCCGTGCACGTCGCACTTGATGCCATCCGGAATGCCGGTATCAGCCATGGCAAAGAGACGTCTGTTTGTCAAAAAGGGCTCCCCTGAGTAGGGGACCAGGTCGAATGCGTAACTGTCAATCTTTGTTAGTTCATTTGATCTCATAGAGGTGTCGTATCCTAGCTGGTGAAGCCACGTAGTAAGGACTCACATTGTTGACGCTCGCGTGAGATCAGTGGAGCCATCACCATGAATCCAGTCGGTGTCCGTAATGTACACGGTCTTCTCGTCAGGGCTGAAGCAAATACCATTCGGCCGGCCGAAGCCATCGGCCATGGCCCTAATCGACCCACGGATGGGATCATATCTGTAAACTTGGTTGGGAAGCTGCGGCTTCGGCCGGATACCCTGTTCATAGCCATAAATCGGGTCGGTGAACCACAGAGAGCCGTCACTGTGCACCACAACGTCGTTGACAGAGTTGAACTCCCGTCCGTGGAACGAGTTGACCATCATACGGGTCTGGTAGGGTGGTTCCGCCTCCATGAAGACCAGGCCTCCAGGTGCGGAGTGCGTTCCCTGGGCGCAGAAGACAACCCCGTCCAGGTAGTTGACGCCTCCGTTAGCCATCGTTATGATGGCGGGGCTGATCTCCTCACATTTTGTCTTGGAACTGCCATCCGACGGCAGCGTGACGCGGCTGATCTGGATCTTGCGACCGCCGGCTGCGTGGTCATCGTACTGGTTGCTAGTGATGAAGAGCGTGTTGTTACGCTCGATGAAGACGCCTGCCTCGTGAGCGAAAGGGTAGTCCTGGTTCTCGTGCAACAACTCGAGCGACGGTGCGGAGCCGAACAGCTTCTTGATTCGGTCATCGTAGACCACAAAGTTTGCCATTGTGAGGAGCTGAAGATGAGTTATGTATTAAGCTGATTAAGACAATCAACGTCGTATTGCCTTCAATTGCCAAGAAGGTTCTTCGAGAAGCACTGCGGGAATTCTTGGCGTCGACGTTCAACGGTTGGACGGCGGTTGAAGAGCAATTAGTTGGCGTGTTTTTGTGTCTCCAGGTCGCACGGATGCGGGGCACGACTGCGGGCACGATGCACCTGTTCCTGTCACAGGATAGAGTTCGTGGGTCTGTGGCCAGTGTTCGGCCTGCGTTCGGCAAATGTCTCAAGAGCTGCGTCTCCCTCACGTGCATAGTCACGGGTCGGCATTTACACAACGAGGGACTACGGATATTGATGGTATTAATCTGCTCAAGCATTGCGCGTCAAGATGATTTCAGCTTTACCGGAGGCCAACCAGCTGCTGTAGAGTGTAGACTATTCCCATGCTAGTTGCAGTCCAACCCGCGTCACCGAGTCAGGATATAACGTCGAGACCTGCTCCGCTCAGGAGAATCTATGGGTTCTTAGAGAAGTTTTCAAAAATCCATTTTAC